CATCTTGCAGTTTTCAGAAAATCATTCACCTTTGTGTTTCATTTAAAAAACCAAAACAAAATGTGTAGAAATAAAAGTATGAAATGAGGATTATTTTTTTTTTTTACGTGCAAAATAAAACCTGAATTTTTCCTGTTAAATGAACTATTGCACAATTTAACATCCGTTCACACACCCTCAGAAAAAGAGAACCCCAAACCAAATTAAACGTGATCTTGTGTATATTGTGACAGATACCAAACCTGGCCTCCTTTATACGGTGCCAAATCGTAGACCTTCCGTGGAGGTTTTTTTCAGTCTGTTCCCTTTCTTATTTTCTGCTTCCTCCTATCTTTGCTCTTCTTGGTTTAGTATGGAAGCTTTCCCAGATGGAGGTTGTCTTTAATTACCATAGCAATTATTATGCATATCTGTATTGTGCTCTGCAGTTGTTAATTAGAATTGTACAGGTAGGAATGCTGAAGTATTAAAGTCTGTTAAATTGTAATTTTGTTCTTAAAACTCAAATCTTATAACAGAACTCTTCTCATTCTTCCATGCCTCCTCCTGGTGTCACTAACCTCTGAAGAGAGCTTTTTAAAATACTACTGTTTGGAAAGTTGTCAAGATAGAAACAAGTGAAACTTTATTCTTGTGGTCTAGGATAGTTACCTGGTTTTGAAAGTTTCCTAAGTGAACCGTTTTCTGGACATCTACCGGCTGACACAGCTCACTGTCAGGCAGAACATTATTGCTGGTGCAAGGGTTTTGGTCTGCGAACTTGGCATATGGAGGTGGGGAAGCCCTTGAAATTTAGTTTTATTCCCCACAGTTTCCTGTTTTTCTGTTTGTGGTATCAGTGTGCATGTGTGCTTAAATTAAGAAGACATTAACATAATGGAGTTTATAGCATCAGCTAAACCAGGGTGTTCTGTTAAGTCACTGCTGCGTGCCTAGTGCTTCTGGAGGACAAAATTACCTCTTGTTTGGGTTGTGTGCTCTTCTCTGAGCTGCTTCCATCACACTAGTGCTGACTACCTACTTCACTGTCCATCAGGCCACATTGAGAATCATGGTGTTAAAATTACAGCTTGAGATAGCCTTGACTGAGCAGTACAGCCCGGTTAGTGTATAGTGTATAGCATGTATAGTGTCTACTTTTCAAGAGTTTATCGCTTCTGAAACTGTTAAGGACAGTGTTGGCATATTCAGAGTGCCAGAACTAAACCATACACATCTCTTGTACCACTCTGTGTTAATAATTATGTCAGGTATCACAAAAAATTAACATCTTCCTAAATTCTATGAACAGCAATACTACCAACAAATGGGATTGAGAGGGTGACACTTAGTCATGTATCATGATTGACTGTATTTGATGTCTAAAGAAAAAGTGAACTCCCAACTGAAAAGTTTCTAGTGGCTGGAGCATTTGTACAATCTCTTTCACAAACACTTGCTTTCTCCCAAGGTGTTTACTTCCCTCAGTGCAGACACTAATAAGACACTTTCCCCTATCTAGCTGTTTTCCCACGCAGTTTGCCATAATAAATGAGGACCTTAATATTCAAGCAGAGAATTTTTCTGTAAGATTTAACACTATAGCAAGCTGCTATTTATTGATGTACTTAATGTCTCTGAATTTATTTTAATGGTTGATCTGTTTCTTTAAAAGCTTCATATTTTACAGGGATTGAACTTCTTTTACAAATAAGAGATCAGTGTGTTTGTACCTCTTAAACAAAATTCATGGCTTTTAAATAAACAGAAGTATGCAAATTGAAAGTGATTTTTCATCAGCCCCCTGTTACTTTCATATATTAACTAATCCTGTATTTTGGCTATTAAAATAATTTGTGGGAAAAGCTGCTGTTCCAAGGATTTTTCCTGTATTTAGTATTTTGTATTTAGCAAAATAGACCCAGACTTGCACAGGGACTTCCTATGTTATCTTTATATAACTTCTTAATACAAGAATGATGCCTTTATAATAGAGAAAGGAATTAGCAATGGATCAGAAGGCAGGAGAGACACCTGTGTATCTCATATTAATACAAATTAAAGCACAGTATTATGTATTATATATGGGAAGTTTCATGTTGGGTTGATGACATTTATAACATTTTGCTCAGACTATGAAATTGCATTGACAAGGATCTCCAAGAATAGGAAGTCAGTTATTGCTCCTTCTGATGTTGAAGCACTTGAAATTTTTTTTTATAGTGGCCCAAATAGAGATTATGTAGGCTTTTATACTGTGTAGTAATCTTTAGATTTGTTGCGTTTAATCTATCTTCAGTCTATCATTGGACATTGCAGTGACAGTTATGTCTCGCAGTGCTGTGAAAGACACAGGATTGTGATGTTAGTAATATAGATATATTACAATAAATCCTTTTGTTATAGTAGAGGGAGATCACTAGTATGATCTACCTGTGCTTTTCAGCATATACATACATAATTTGGGTAAGAGTATGCAGGGTTGAAGGTAATTTGAAAAATGAGATTATTTTTTTTAGGGTATGAAGCTATTCAGAGTGTGGAAAGTACTGAGTAGCTGAGAGAGAAAACAGCTGACAGTTAATACTGATAATGCTGACTGCTTTACATGGGGGAAGATGTTTCTAATTTTACATATGCAGTATTGGGCTTTTAATTAGTTTGTAATGCTCTGGAGAGACATACCATTATAACAAAATATAAATGTTTAAAAATATTAACTCAGTTTTTACTAACCATCAAGAAACAGGTAAAATGTTCGGAACTGCTCTTTTCAAAGATCAGTCAGACCTCTAAATCATCCCTAAATCATGTCATTCTCTAAGTCCCTGTTGTGTTTTCCTGAGCAGCTGCAGTATTGCCTGTAGTTCTGGACTTCCCATCCTGGCAGGAGGCAGGGGGATAGAGGAGACAGGAGCGATGAGAGTACCCCGCAGTGCCGAGTGACTTGTTTGGCATCAGCGGCAAACCAGACCAGATCTCTCAAGCCAGGAGAGGTTTTGATGGGGTGTGAAGCGGAGAAGGGTTTGTTTGAGAGATTTGTAGAATCACAGGTACCATAGGTAATGAATCAAATTAAATTTGTGATGTGGAGATTCAAAATAAGAGAGAGAATTTTTCTCATAATATGTATTTAAAGCGTGTAACTCAGAGAATGTTATGAATGCTGACGGATGGTGGCTCAGGTTTCAAAATCCAACCAACCAAAATCTAACACCTCTCCTACCTCCTGAAAGTGTGAGGAAGAAAACCCCTTCCTAGTCTTTTAAACAGAAAAATATCACCACTGATTCAAGAAGTGTTTGATCCATTGGTTACTGAAAACAGAGTGTACTCCAGGGAAAGCGTTATTATGTCATCACTCAGTTTTCTGTTTTTCACATCTGTTGCTCACTGTCAGAAATCTGGTAGTAGGGGAGATGGATTCTGAGTGTAGCTTTGGCTGTTCTTGTAACAGGTATATAGATTCATGTGGTCAAGGAAGATAACATCACTGAACATTGCAGAGTATGTGTTACACATTGCATTACTAACACAGACTATTTTAAATAACTCAATTAAGTTTATGTCCATGTTTTGCATGTGTAAATTACCGGTATATCATTTGATTGGGGGTAAGAGAAGACTAATATTCACTCATAGTTGTGAAAGGCATTATTTTACTTGATATCACTCGATTTTGAGGAAAATTTCTATAATTATAGAGGGTTCTTTCACTGGAAATTTGGTCTTGAATTTGTTTTCTAGAAAATATTTTTTTCTCGCTTTATTGTTTAAAAATTCATCTTAAATGGCAAGACATGAAGAGCCTTTGCTGGTGATAACATTGAAATACTTGTAAATGTGCCCTTCTCAAAGGGCACCTTGAGATCCCTTCTTTACCTGGGGATGATTTTGGAGAAAATGTAATGTATCTGCCATTAAGCAGCCTAGGTGATACTATGTCTGTATTTGAGAGATACCTGAAAACCCACTCAATAGAGATGTATCAAAACATATGTAAATTTAGATTCACAAATACAACCGTATGGTCTTTCTCTGTGAGATTAAATCTATTTGCTCACTTTAAATTAATTTCCAAAGCATAGTAATTTGATTCCTAGTATGAAATAAAAGGTTGCAAATAGTTGCTTTGATGTTTTCAGAAACAGCTAACCAACTGGAGGTTTGTAAGGATGTGGTTAAGCTGCTTTTGGTGTGATTGAACTGGAAGTTGGAAATATTTCCTGTGGCAGATGCACTCTTGCTGTATAACTGCTTTCCCTTTGTTTTCACAAATAAAACTTAACGTTTTAGCTAGTTCTCTGGTATTGTACCTGTGTCTATTTTTGCATATTTAAGTTACGAAAAATGCATGAGAGTGCTTGAATTTGAAAGCACAAAATATTATGTGTATATATATACATATTTATGTATAAACGTGTGTGTGTGTGTGTGTGTATATATATATAAAAACACCTTGTCCTCTATGCACTTTTAACATGTTATGCCAGATCACATTAGTGATATTCTTGTAGTCTTATGGTCGCAAGGCTTTTTTTCCACATCCAAAGTAGTCAAGAGGAATAGCATCTTTGACCTTCATAACAGAAAGCCTAAATCTGCTCACTAACTTGCTTGTATGTGTAGGACATTGGTGGCATGGTTGCAAAGGGCCTTTACTTCTCAGACTGTGCAATACTAACAATTTTCTTCCTGAACTGGAATAAAAATGTAGGAGAAGGATGTAGGATTTATCGGTTTAGCTGGCCTGTGAATTGACCGATGAAATATAGGAAATTTTTTATTCTTGTTAAGCAGGACAGAATTCTTCAATAATTTATCCTAATTTTAATTAATTTTTAGACTTAGAAATGTAAAAGATTGCAAATGCTTACCAGTCTCAGGATATTTCAATTACTTTATTGAACCATGTTACAAGGTTTGAGCAACAGTGCAAAAATTGTTTGAAGTGTGGTATCTTGTTCATTCAGTCTAGAAACTTCCCTGAATGCCTAATTGTTTGTTTTGTTTCCTCTTAGATGAATCGACTCCTAAAGAAGTCAGCAGGGTAAGTGCTACTCTCCATCCATTCTAAAAATTAGTGTGTTCTCTGAGGCCTGCTGTTCACTTGAGATGATATTTGTGCAGTCTCTATTCCATGGACATAGTGGATCTCCAGAGAAAACAAAATGGTGTACTGACTGACTGGAGAACAGTTAATAAGGAAAATAAATATTAAGAACACTTGATTGGCTGTAAATAAATTAAAGGGTGTTTTGTGTCAGCAAATTTAGAGTCCTCACAGTGCTATTTTCATGATCTAGTTTTAAAAAGGTACTTCACGGAAAACAGGAAAATCATGGGACTTTCAGCACATGCATAACAGGAGACTATTTAATCAGTGTTACTGCCTCAAGAGATGGAGAGCATAAGAGGAAGAATGGGAAGGAATGTGCCCTATCTAGTAACTCCCTTTGAGATGTGCTGTAGTACAGATGAGCTAAAATCTTTAATTTGAAATATATTGCTGGGTACTCTATGAAATATAGCGTAAAGTCTTAAATAACTTATTCAGTAATAAATTCTCAACTCTAGCTTTACGTTTGATTGACACTGTGTCCTGCAGAATACATAGTTAGGGGGATCTGTTAGAAACTAGTGCCTTTGCTGGAAATGACAAAAGATCAGTACGGGTCAGTCTGTCGCCCTCAGATGTGTCCAGTCAGCCTGATGAACCCAAATGTTATTTTGTGTAAGATGAGTGAGCTGCTTACAGCTTTCTGAGGTGGAGTCAGGAATCAGTTTTGCTCTTCCTCTTGAATGTCTTGAATAAACAATTTCATATTCCCAGGAGAAATACAGTAGTGTCAGACACATATTAAAAATAAGGCTGGTTGAAAGACTGTAAAATCTGTCTGGGTGGCCTTACTCAGTGGAAGTCATGGAAAACACTAGGGCATGGAAGGAATGGAAACAGGCTAACAGTGGAAACCTTGGTTTGGTAACCCTGAAAGCAGAAGGCTGACATAAGGAGGAACTGAAGTTCACCTCTTATAAGACCATGAAAAATAGATTAAATGATGACTAGAATGAGTTTATTCAAGCATGTTTATTCAAGCAGAAGTTCTCCATATACGTGATGTGCTATGGATATATAAGGGTATTGAGAATTCAGGTAAAAATCAACATGTTTTAGTAATTTATTAATTTAGAACACATATTTTGGTCACCCCTTAGTATTGAGCCATTATGGCAGTTGAGTAAATACCTATCATTGCAACTGAAGATTATTGTTATTAGTATATTTGTATATATTGTTTTGATTTCAAAATAATTGAAGATCTGCCTAAAAATCTTGAAAGCCATAATTATTTCTGTGGAAGAAAGTTCCTTTTAACTGTCAGCAATTTGGTAAATAGATTCACATTTTATCTAAAACTCTGGAAAATGGAGTTATGAAACATATCTAGGTTACCATATTTGAGCTCTTCAAGGCAACAAAAGCAAGCTCTGGAACCCCAGAACCGCCTGAGTCTGCCCTGCCAGTCAACACCTCTGTCTCTCAGACGCACAAGTCTCAGCCATCTCAGCCCCTTGAAGTCACATATAGTGATTCAGAGTTTTGCCAAAGATGGATGGTTTGTCACTTCAACTTCTGGAGTCAGTGGCCTACAGATGATACCTCAGATGTTCTTAAGTAGACATATTCCCTCTTGTTTGTACACTTGGTGTGTATACCGTGTTACGCTACTTCTTTTTTTTTAAAGTACAGTACTTGAGGGCACTCAGTAATGCATCATACTAGAAATGAACATGTTTCTTAGTTTATAATTTTTTTGAATAATGCCATATATAATCATGTAGACCATTGTAATACATCTTCTTTCTTCAGAACCAGCTCAAACAGCTGCGGGTTTAATTAAAATCTGAACATAAATTAGAATTTAAATGGGAAAGTTCTGCACGTGAGTAATGTTTTTCAGACAAAAAGAATATTCATGCTGACTGAAGAACTGAATTTTACTCATTAAGTGTTACGATTTTAATTCCTGAAAATGTCTGCAAAAAGATGCTTTTATAGGGAAGCAAAAATAAAAGTTAGTGAAAGGAAATTTATTGCAGAAATAAATCACAGACTGGTTTAAAATATTAGTTAGGAACCAAGGTAGAAGTATGCTGAAAAAATGTTTTGCTCACTGCTGGATTTTTTTTTTTTTAATCTTTCAGTGTTGGGCAGAGTGAAAACATTAAAATATTCATATTCATATGCTCTGACATTAGTTGCTCCAATAGCCTCCTTTTCTGTTGTTCTTACACAGGACAACAGAACTAAATTGAGGGAGGATATTTTTTGTTAAATTTATTTAACCCCTTTCTCCCCGTAAAAGCCTCACCTTTTCTCTTTATAAACATACAAGATCATAGGGTTGTTCTAGGGACTCTAAATACTAAACTTGTCATTCATTTGCCTTTTTTTTTCTTTTTATCAGCAAAATGCAGTGGTATGAATGGTGTCCAGATTTTTGGGGGAAAAAAAAAATCTTTTACTTGAATTATTGCAAGGAAATACTTTCAAGGGTTTGTGTTGCAGTTTCACACTTTGAAAACTGAGGAAGTTCTGAAAAATGCTGTTGTATAGGAACTGCATTTTTAATCTTTTGCCATTTTTAGCAGCTTGGTAAAAAAAATGAAAATAAAGTAGCAATCATGGCTGTCAGCATTACATTGCATGTTTTTGAAACAAGAAGAGAGTAGGAGAAACCTTCCACATATTTTAAATTGTGATATTTGTAGCATAGAAGCTTTTCAAAATTTATTTTAAAGTCTAGCCTACTGAAGGCAATTTCACCAATATTTTGGTGTTCAGAAGTTACAGGTAAAGATACCCTAGTTTGGCCTGACATAGTAACTGACAGGTGGGGGGAAAAAGTGTGTGGGGGAGAGATTTCCCAATGCCTGTAGACTGTGATTGGCATAAACCCAACTCCGGTTACAAAATATTTAATGAGCATCTGTGACCAAGCAGTGAACCTGTGAACTTTTTACTGCATGCTACATTCCAGTATTTATGAAATATATGTAACTGGGGACAGAATCTCCTTTTCACATGACGTAGTATTAGGAACATCCTTGGAAATGCTGAGTTTCTTCTGCTTACTTAGTGTGCAGCTGTGTGTTGGCTGATCCCATCCATCCTAGCTACACAAGTGGTTTTCTGGGCAGAGGGATTTAAGAAAGAAAACCAACTATTGAACTGTTTTGATGAAGAAAGCTTAACCTGAATTTATACTTTGCTTTTGCTTGTTTTATGTGCAACAGAAACAAAAATAGAGGAGTGTGAGTTTGAGCATTAAGCACATATGTATTCATGTATATCTAAAGATACATTTCTTTGACAGTATTAGTGAAAACAGGGTGTATTGGAGACATGTTATTCTTTTCAGTTGGCAAAAATAACCCCATTCCTACATGAACTATAGCCAGGATTTTGTTCTACGTGCTGTTAAGTTCCCCATGATCACTGTGTGCTCTTTTGTACCTCAGATTCTGAAGTTTAAACGAAAATGCCTGATGTTCCTGATATGATCACAGCAAAACTAGCTGTTATTCATTTTGCTTAATGACTTCCCATTCCATGTTTACATGAACAATACTTCCAGTGAAGCTGACTTTTGGCAAGTACCTTTGCTTTTTAAACTCCCGTGATGCCAACAGCAATCCACTTTGCAGAAGTTTACCATGTAAACACCAGAAAATTATTACCTAGCAAGTGACTAGCTCATTTACAGTACTTTATTCTTAGAAACAGGAATAATACTTTAATCCTTTCCCCTTTTTGGACTTGGAGCTTTTAGCAGCTACCTTGGCACCAGCTAGCACCCAGCACAGTATGTCACTGACAGTAACAGAATTAGCAAGTGTGTTTTCAGTAAATAATTGCAGTAATTGCATGTATCTTCCCTGTGCAACTGATGATAAAAGTTTGGGCTTTTTATGACACGTTGGCAAAGCAAGCTCAGTCTTTGTAGTATTTTCTTAATAAAGATGGGATTTAAATGTTTTCACACAGTCCCAGAACTGAAGACTGCGACGGATTAATCAAAAAGTTAGGGAAACTAGAACAAACATATATATTTAGCCTTTAGAAGTAATGCAAATGGCATTGCACCCATTGTCACGAGAAGAAGATGCTTGTATAAGCTGATTTCTTTATAAAGAAAATCTTGTGGTTACTGTGGTAGTGATAAGCAACGGTGGTAGGAAAACGAGGAAGTTTATTTTTAATTTTGTACATGATGTCTTTAGAGTGTTTGCAAGTCAAGTATTAGGAGGGAATGTGTTTTTATAAAAAGCTTTTTAAAAAGAGGAGCAGTATTCAGCCTTGTCAAGTTAAAATGAAGCTCATTATGCTGTTTTATTATATAATCTGGAGAGGTGACATAATTGAGATATTGATGCAGTTTGATGAGCCTTACAGTTAATAACAGCTTATATAGTTACTTCTGTGTAATCATAATGTTATTTTCTTGTAAGCCAAGCCTTTGCTTTTTATTATGTCTTTTTCCTATTACTAGTGAAGCAATTTATTGTGGTGTTGCCAGTTGATAACAGGGAAGGAGCTGATGGAAAGATTAAAATTGGATGCCAGTTGAAAGCAGGAAGCTCTAGGGAAGGTATTCACTGTCTTTCCAAGGCTTGGAAGTCAACGACATAAATGTGCTGGGAAATGAACGTCCTTCAGAATTAGTGAACTCTTTCTGTGCAGAGTGAGAGCTGGTTTGCATCTTTAGAAATCATAGGGGCTGTCCTGCCAAATGTCATCTCATATTTTCTCTTCTTTGCTGTTGTCATGAACAGTGTTTGATGTGCCAACAAACAATTCATAAATACCTGTACATGGTGCCCCAATGCTAAACTTTATTTACTGAACAAGTTCTAACCCATGTCCTCTCCAGACAAAACAAGAAGAATAGACGTCAGACAAATACGTGTATAAGCAGTTTCCTCTGAGGCTATGTACAAGCATTAAAATTAATCACCTCAGCTATGTCTGCTCTTTATAGCCTC